TTCTACTATAAAAGATCACTGTTGGTCCTACTACTAAGGATTATTGTAAATTCAACTAGAAATGATTACAATATGTTCTACTTGAGAACATTAACGTAAGCTCTACTAAAAAATAATACTGAAGGCCCTATTAAAAAATATCATCGCAGGTTCTACTAAAAAAGATTGCGGCAGTTCCTACTAAAGATGATTGATGGTACTGTGCACTAGCTAACAAATATAATACTCGTACGTCTCTACTATACAAAAGATCACTATAGGTCCTACTAAAAAGGATTACTGTAGGCCCTACTAGAAAGGATTACTGTAGGTTTTAATAGAAAAAGATCACTGTAGGTCCTACTAAAAAGGATTAATGTAGGTCCTACTAGAGAAGAGTTCGGTAGACCCTACTAGTAAAGATCACTGTAGGTCCTACTAAAAAGAATTACTGTAGGTCCTACTAGAAAGGATTACTGTAGGTACTCCTAGAAAGGATTATTCTGGGTTCTACTTAAAAAGGTTTTAAAAGTTAAACGAGATATTTGAGAAATTACTGTAGACACCAAAGAAAAGGTTACTGTAAGAAGGCTCAACTATAAATTAAATTGAATCTCTCTACTTCGCTGTAATTGTTTTAGTTTAAAAAGCTTACCGCTGGAGCGCATCCGCAACTTGGTGGTTGAGGTGTTCCACATCCACAACAGCACCCACCACCGCCACCTCCACCCATTCCGAAGAAGATGGCGTGGCAAAGTGTCAATCCAGACACTGATAGAATTAACAGTCGGAGCATCATCTTGATGAGGATGCTTCTTCTAGGGAGGAAATATCTCTCGCGCTGCGGCTGCTTTTCGTATATTTATATAGGCGAGATCTAAGATGCCCGAAGAGCGCCTCCTCGAACTGACCCAGTTCGCCACTAAGTTGTCTAGTTTCGTTCAAACTGGTAATGAATGTAATGGAACATGATGATGATCGCAACGAGAAAAATCGGATCTTGAAGTATGTGTTCGCCTTCTTCTTTTCTCTTCCTGCCCAATCCTTCCTCATTTATTTACTTGCTTATCACTTTCTCCTTTTTTTTCTTCCGCCGAGAACCGAAAAATAAAAGAAAGTAACGTATTCTCAAGCTGATTTATGAGAATGGATAGACCAATCATCTGAAACATGGAATACCAGTTATTGTTGTTACGAGAGACAATGAATGGCAGACGGATGGATGGATCTTCTTTCACTTAATGGAATACTTGATCTTCCCCCTATAAAATTTTTTCAGTTCTTTTTGAAGATATGAAGTCATTGGTTCCTGTTGTCTGGGAATGATTTCATTTGACGTTTGGAGGTTAACGAGAAGGAAGGAGGAAAAAGAAACCGGGAAGACTGAAAAACAATGACATGTGTCAGTGTGTCCTATACTCTGTTCACATTCAACAAGTACCACTATTTGTGAAATATGGGTTTTTAAATGTTAAGTCATTAGAGTTTGTTTCAATGGATTCTTTGACTTTTTGATGAATATTATTGAAGGAACTTTTGAAAAAAAAAGTACAGTTTGTAGTCTACAGTACCTCAAAAATGCATTTTTTTTTCACAACATTATATGGTATTAAAATGATGTCAGATACAGTACTTGCTCTATTAAAAGCATACCCAATCGTCAACTTTCAGCTCAATTATCTCGATTCCTGTGAAAGATATCGAAAACTGGTCAACTGATAAATTGGTTTTCATAATATCATCAATATTTTATCTGTGGACAACTTTTAGATATTTTCCACAGGAATCGAGATACTTTAGTTCAAGGTTGACTTTGGGAGAGATCCAGGATGTTTGGGTGAGGTCCAGAGACCGGATTCCGGATTCCGTCTTTTTTTTATTCTGGATTCCGCGAAAAATATTTTTGTCCGGATTCCATATTCCGGATTCAGGAAAAATTTCATTCGTCCGGATTCCGGATTCCAGACTCCGAGAAAATGTTTTGTTCCGGATTCTAAACATGTGTTAATTTGCAAGGATTCTCTGACTTTTTTGAACTTCCGCGACTAACAATGCAAACGTATAAATAGCACGAATTTTGTTTTTTAGAACTTTTCTGCTCATTTTTAGAACTAAGAATTCCGGAGTCCTTGTTACGGATTTCCTCCTTTTTTTATTCCGAATTCCGTATTCCGGATTCTGTGAAATCTTATTTGTCCGGATTCCGAGAAAATTATTTTATTCCGGATTCCGTTTTTTCAAAAAAGTCATTCCGGACATCTCTGGTGAGGTCCTTCAAAGGACAACTACTGTAACCTAAAAAATTTTTGATTTCAGAATTTATTTTCTCATTTTTCGCTGTTTTTTTTATTTTTTCTGTTATCTTTTCTGAAGCATGTGAGAAATTTTTTTAAAAATATTCTAAAAAACTCGACGAAAGGCAATAAAAAAGAGAGAATAAATTCTGAAAGCAAATTAATTACAGTATCTTAAAGGCACATACCATCAAAACTCTGCTGGGTCCCGCAAAGAACAAAAATAACAGTTAACAGCGCCTTTGAAGTGTACTGTCAACGATCCTTTTCGACTTTCGCTTTTTCAAGAAACTTTCAGTCTTCAAAAACCAGTATTTATCTTCAAAGAACGCACGATATCTAAAAATTATATATTGTTTTTTCCGCGCAATTCATCTTCATTTTGTTCTTATCACCGGCAATTTTGTCAAACATGTTTTTGATAGCTGAATTTCAATCAGTCAGTTACATCTGACCCGGGGACATGAGATATCAACGACCTTTTAGATTTTTCTGATTGTTATGACACATTTACCGACGCTTCACCTCTTTTGCCGTTGCTCCTCTGTTCCGCGTTCAGTCGTCATTTGCAACACAATGATCATTTTCCTTTTTATTTCAAAGTTACACATCACATGATTCGCCGACAAAAACTTTAAAAGATACACGGTCTGACCACTTTATCATCACTACAATATCTCTCTTATCGTTCGCGTTTTAGTTCAACGAGAAAGAAAGAAACAGAAAATCAATTCGTTCTCTCCTCCCGCTCAAGTACACCACCCCGGGATGCCAGTGATAGGGGAAAAGTAATAGACGGAGAGCGCGGAGTGTGATGCAACTGCGCTCCAAAGTACATGTCGAAGTGCTGCCATTCGCGTATTTGACACGAAAAAATCATATGATCTCGGTTGATTCTCGTTCTGTTCTTTCCATTTTTTCTCATATTAGTTTTATTTCGATCCATGTTGTCGCATTTCTTCTTTTTTCTCTTCGTTTTTGTGTTAAATTGGTTTCAGTTTGATTATAGTCTAGAACAATGTGATGCAATGCTATTTTCGGTGGTAGCGAATTTCGGAAGTATCTCGTTCACCCTTTATGATTCAGAATGCTTTTCCTATATATTGTGTTGCTTTTGCTGATAATCGGGCCAATTAAATTGACCTAATCTATGGGTTCTCTCCCCTATCATTTCCCTTCGCTTCCCTTCGTTTTTTTTTAAATTTAATTTTTCAGAGATGCGATCAGTAGCTAGAGGAGTCACCACCAATATCCGCAAATTAATCGAGGCTCGGCCGAAAAACACTGGACAGACTGTCTACCTGACGCACGTCAAATGGGTAACCGGAAAAGCACAATTAGAACACTATTTCAAAAGATACGGGTCGATTCAAAGCGTTAATATGTTTTATGTGAGTTTTAAAAAATTAAATCAATTAATTTTCAAAAAATTACAGGATCCCGATACGGGTCTTCATCGCGGCTTCGCCTCGATAACTTTCGATTCGAAGGACAGTGCGAACAAAGCGATTGAACAACGGCCGCACGTTATCGATGGAGATCGGGTTGGTTTTCGGAACTTGTTATCACTTTAAATAGGCTTCAAAAAAAATTGGCGTTCTGATCGACTAGTGAAAGTCGATTAGCAAACAATTAAATGAGAAAGTTTGTTTTCATGTCGCCAATGATAACGAAAAAAGAAATTTCTGAAATCTAATATCGAATTTCCAGGTCGATGTGGAGCCCTACATCCCACTCATCTCGAAAAATAAAAAGAAGGATTTGATGCTCTAACCTAATTATCCCGATCTCTGACCTCTCCTCTCCCTTACTATCCAGTCTCTCGAATTTCTAGCCAATTCATTTTGCATACTCTCTTTTGTTTCCTGTATTTCTCCTTTTAACATCTGTTATTTTCTTTCTATTTCCCTTTATAGGTTTTCTGTCGTTAGCGTCGAACGCCTTACAGAATTTGTTCAAACGAACAAAAGCACCGGTTCGTCAAGTTTTTTTTTCCTGTCTCGGTCCCCTTCTCCCTTTCTTTCTCTTCCGTTTCACCTGTTTTCTGGTGAATTGTAAATATTAGCCTGTTGTTTTTCAAGTATAGAAGAACGTTTTTGAAATTCTGTTATTGCTCAAAGAAAAACTGAAAAGAACGGAAAATGACTAATCTAGTAACCAGAAAAACTATGAACATTTAGAAACCGTGTGTGTTGAAAACCGGCAAAGTGTAGGTCTCATATGCGAAATCTTCCACGTGGGTCGTGTCATTGTATACTCCAATGTAATCGATTTCCAGCTTGAAGTCTCCGTCGATCCGATCCATGAGCACAATTCCAATAGAGCTTGTATCTTCCAAATTGACACGATACTGCCTATCCTGAATGCGTCCAGCAACCGTATGGAAGAATTTCGAGAATGGAATTTTTTCGTATTGCCAATAAGGACCACCGTGTGTGTGTAGTGGATGGGAGAACGAGTCACCCCATGTGAAATCCATCGAAAGAGGCGAATGAAGCATTATTTTATAACTGCGACCGTCTCCACGGACCTGAAAAATTCAAAATGATAAAAATTGAAACAGAATATCATGGGAACCTTCAGAAGCAAGTGCGAAAAATTGCGCCACTTGGACAAGAACTTCTTGCGATTGAATGTTTTTCTATCTTCCAATTTCATGGATGCCCAGCCTGCTCTTTCTACTCTTCCATCTTTCAGCACCCTCGTTGAAATATTTCCACTGAATACTGCAGTTCCACGATCGGAATTCACTAAAGAACACGTTGAGAAACCTTCTTTCCAGTCACTGTCGCAACCGATTTTCCAAAGGTCCAGCTTCTGAAATGGTTACGAACTGTTTAGAAGTTACAGAGGTAGCTCACTTCTGATGTGTCAAATTTGTACTCGACGCGAGCCTCATTATGTCTCACAAATCCGATATCTTCTAAAAGTTCAGGCTTTTCAATTGAGATGTTACTGAACGCATCTTTTATTTCCTCCGCAAGCTTCGCTCCTTGCGTTTTTCTCGTATTCGGAAGTTCAGCTACTAGTTCTTTTACAGAAAAATCAGGATCGTATCCAATAACACCCTAAAAGCTTGAAAACATTGCTTTGTTGATCTTTGAAATCGTTAACCAACCTTTGGATTCGGAAAATTAGTATTAATCGGGACGGTGCTTGTTCCGAAAACGCCTACTTTCTTCTTTTCCAATAAATTCGATTTTCCTGTGTAACCCTGAAACGTTTATTGAGATATTTAAATGAGAAAAAGAAATAAAAATACCTCAAGTTCAGAATTCGTTTTACTCTTTGCTAAAGAATTTGAAGACGTTGACTCTTTGGAGAAAAATGCGCACAATTTATTTCTAAATTTTGGCAGAAGTAATCTCCCCGTAAAGTTGCTTATCATAGTTTTAGACGAAGATTTTATTCAGAAAATATTGTTATTTCAACTCCGAGAGGACTACACAGGCATGGCCGTAGAGCATGATTAAACAGCTGCAAGTGGCGGGAGATTCAATTTTCAAACTTTGTTTACCGATGAAACTTTCAAAATCATTTTTTCTCCGATTTCCGTTTTGTTTTGGTTAAATTTCTTCTCATTTATACTTTATTCAGACAAAATGTCTCTTCAAGAATCTGCTCAAAATCTAATCAAAGAGCTAAACGAATCAGCGCCATATTTGTCGTACGCTGCTCGCTTCGCATCGTTCAAAGGTTTCCGTTATGACAAAAAGCATATAGCTGCATGCTCTTCTGATGCGGTAATGTGTAATCATAGTTTTTGAACTATCACCATGAGAATCTTCCAGCTGTCGCATGCAGGGTTCTACTCAACAGCCACTAAAAAAAATCCAACGTCTGCAAAATGTCCATTCTGCACGTTGGAACTCACATTCGCTGAGAACGATGATCCATGGGAGTTGCACAAAGCAGCAAGACCAAACTGCGATTACGTGATGATAGGTAGACCAGATGATACTACACTGTCGTTGAGAACTATAGTTGCCCTCGCTCTTCGATGTGCAACCGTTGCGGAGTACGAGAAAATGTTCAAAATGTTCAAAGTATTCGAGGAATACAATCCTAGAATTCGTAAGCTCAAAAATAAATTTACTTATTAAATACTCCATATTCAGACAGCACAGCAATTCGTGCTCAAGCCACCGCCGAAGCCATCGGTTTTCGCGACAGTACTATGCTCCTGATCGCCGATCATCGTTTCAAAACGTTCGACTATACTGTTAGAGGTTTCAGAAAGCCAACTCCTTCCATTCTTAAAAGAGTAAGGCATTTTGAAATCCACGGAAACTTTGAATGATAATTTTCAGCTCGCTAAAGCTGGCTGGTGCTCTGCAGCTACCAATTGTTCACATCTTTCTGTGAAGTGCCCATTTTGCTTTTCTGCTGTCACGTTCTCGGAAACTGACGATTTCTGGGAAGAACACAAGCGTATTGCTCCGGATTGTGATTTTGTGAAGCTCGACAAACCAAAGGAAGCTGATTGGACTGATGATGAAGGACTAATGTTGGCTGTCCGAATCTCGATTATGAACAAGTATGAAACAAAGCAAAAAATTCTCGACCAGCTGGAAGATGATGAAGAAGTCGAGAAATTGACGGAGCAGTTGAGCAGAATGATGGCCAAACCTAGATTTTTGAGACGTCGTTGCAGCGTCTGATTATTATATTTGAATATCCCGTAACATATTCACTGGTTCCATGCATCCCGTCTGATCTCTTTTTCTTACATTGAAAAATAAACCGATTCATAGTGTAATTCAATTTCCAAACAAAAAAAGCGAGTTTCGCGAACACTGACTAATCTGACCGATGGCATCTCACTTCTCACCTCAATCGAGGTCTCATGAAAACATGCGTCGATGCGCGGAGAAGCGGGAGATAGAATCGGAGAGCAAACAATGCGTCATGCTGCGGACTCGCGCCCGGTTATCGATTCCCGTGTGTGGCAGTTTGTGTTGTCTCTTTTCCCTCTAGTTTTCCACCTCCACACCTCTGTCTGATATCAATTTCAATTGTAGTACTGACAGTACTGCTCCCATCTGAATATGTGGCAAAACCAACCACAACCGATTAACTTTAATCAGTATGGACAACATGGAAATGGTAACAATTATTATGATATTTTGCCTGTAACGACGACCCTGAATCCGAATCCGAATGCTTCAATTGATTTCGTGGTGACTCAAGTGGATACGTTGGCCAATCAGATTAACACTTTGGTGGCAGATGTAAGTTTCAGAATTTCATAAGAGTTCAATTATTGTTGGAGACTTTTATTCTGGTACAAACATCAGAGCAGTGGAAGAAGGTCGGTGGCTGTGGCTGTAGTTCCACAACGGATACTACAGCAACCTAAAAAATGTTCATTTTCCCTAGTTATTATCTTGATTTTCGTGCATTTTCAGTCAATTTTTTCACTATCAAAAGTCTTATTTCTTGACTTTGTGGGGAAAAATAACAGAAAACTCCACGAGAAGCAGTGAAAACCGAGATAATAACTTTGAAAAATAAAAATATTTTTAGGTTACGGTAGTTGTAGTTGTGGGACCCACAAGTCCAAGTTTTTTGTACCAGAATAATAGAAAACTTTAGATTTTCAGCAGAAATGTCAAAATATACTACCGTACTTAATCCAGCAGACGGATACCGTTAATTTCATCCGAATTCTTTCGGTTGCTGTGAATTACTTCGAAAGTTGTAAATTAAAGAGAAGTTTATGGTTTTATGAATGTTATTTCATCAGTTGGCAACTTTTCGTTATCTAAACAAAAAACTAGATATCTGAATACAAACTTGTAGAGACTACTGTAGATTACTGTAGTCCGAAATATTTTTTTCCGAATCTCCTTAATCGAAATTTGCGAACAAATGTTTTCAGAGTGAAGCCGCGGGTCTTCAAATCGCTGATAGAGGTGTGGAAACTTTCAATCGAATGTCTGATGCATTCAATAATGGAACTATTCAAAATATCAACCGGATAGGAGTAAGCTGATTATCATTTAAAGAAAATCTGGCTTTCTAAGTTTAGGATATAGCCTCAGAAAAGTTCAGTGGCTGGCCAGTGACGGAACTGATTGTGATGGCTGTCATTGGAGCAGTTTTGATAGTGATTACGGTAGGTTCCTCAGTTTTTGAGAACTAAATTATGAATAACCCATTCTCAGCTTATCTTCTTGTTCGTTCTCTGTGGTGAGCGTGTCACCATCTACCGTAATCGAAAGAAGTTGACAACCGAGTTAGATGTGGAGATTATTTAATTATCTGAAACCACAATTACAATATTTTTCGATTTCATCAGATCTCATTTGTACTACGAATAAATAAAACCAAAAAGACAACAAGTGTTTTAATTTGAATAATTCATCAGTTCGTATAGATAGTTGTGTCCACTTGTACGGGCATTGGGTTACCACATAACGGTCAGAAGTATTCTTTTTTCTCCTGAATCAGAGGTACTATTTTATGACTTCTTTGATTCTTCCATTACTCAGAAGCAGGTGAGTCGAATCCTTTTGATTAGAATCTTGTAATAACCTTCACCCCAAAAACCGAAACCTATCGAATCGTGTCATCTATTTTGGGTATAGAAAGAAGGTATGAATTCATTGTAATACAAAATTGAATGACATGAAAACAATACCCCACCCATCCGGAGCTTCTCCTCCTTATTTGGTTTACTATTCGGATGAGTCATTCAATGTTTTATAAAAAGGGTTTCTTTCGCTTTTTTATTGGGTGTTACGCTGAAACGTATACTGGGAGTGTTCTGACTGTTTTTTTTCTTTGGTAGAGTGATGTATTCGTTCAGAGTGTTGTCGGTCTGAACGTGTGAGAGAGAGAGAGAGGTAGGTGTTCTAGTTTTTACTATTGACTGATACGCTGTTTATTTGGCATATAATTCGGAGGTGGCTCTAATCTCATATCAAAGTGATTTTTCTCTTTCCCACGAGAAACCAGAACCACTTGGTGGAAGAACTATTTTCACTGGCAAAAAACAAATAGAATCAAGGCGAGTAGAGTGGTTGATAAGGGAGAGAGAATACGGAAGGTTAGAGCCACTTTTTGATCTAGATTTGTTTCACTTAAAATCAATGCTCCTGTAGGCATAGCAAAAAGAGAGTCTCGGGTGGAGCACACCGATTTGAGCTCCACCATTCCTCCTCTCCCGTATTGTGTTTGTCGAGCGGCGAGGCGAAGAAGAAGCGGGAGCTGCGCGGGAGCACTGAGAGAGCATGAAGAAAGTATGGAGGAGAAAGGAAAAACACAATAGGGCAATTGATCTCAGCTGAAATACTTAGCATTGA